TTAGAATCCACTAGAGCCAAACCTAAGTTTTTTAAACAAATCCAAGATTTACAGTGAATCTTTACATCACTAAATATATCGGCGATTATATCGGCTATCGGCAGCTCCAACTCCCATTATATTGGTTTCATATCGGCCACAACAAAATCCATATCGATCGGGCTCTACAACTAATGTCTTTTACTGAACAGGAACAGAAACAACAAACATGGATTAATATGGTAATTTAATGCAAGAATAACAGTGTTTATAGACAAGGTTAATTTGCAAAACAATTTCAGTATGCAATGAATGTATAAATGTTTGTTTTCATTGCAATACTCCCTCAAAACTTTACGTGTGAAGTATATGTACATGAAAAGGTTTAGATTTATACGCGGGTCAGTCCGTAGTCCGTAATGTCTGAGTATTAGTGTCTGCCTACAGCACCATCACTGTTAGCCTGTTCCTAAAGTGTATTACACAGGGGCACGCCTTTAGCCCCTCTCCCCTCATAGCACGAGTCAAGATCCGCTTCTGCACACAGCACGCGCTCATGTGGAAGTGGAAAACTGCACTGTGTGAGCCTGGCCAAACAGCCCTGAGGCCACCGAGAAAAAAACTGTGCTGCAATGCCCCCTAGTGAGGAGTCAGCATCATAACAGGAGCATAGAAAACGGCTCATATAGAAAATAGTGGGTGAAAAATTAAGAAAAAGAACCAATTGTAATAGGAACTGTTTGGAAAAAAAGCCAAAAAACTTTTACATTCTAAAATAAGTTCAACCATCTGACTGAAATACAAAGTTTCTATTCCTATTAATTAGTTTGGTCATCAGCTGAGGTGGCTCGGGCTTCTGTTCCAGATGCCTCCTGGGCGCCTCCCTCAGAAGGTTCTCCAGGCATGCCCTGAGAAAGACTCAGGACACACTGGAGGGACTATGTCTCTCAGCTAGCCTGGGAAAACCTTGGGGTCCCCCTGGAGGAGCTGGAGGAAGTGTCCAGGATGAAGGAAGTCTGGGAGTCCCTGCTTAGACTGCTGCCCCCACAACCCAGCCCCAGATAAGCAGAAGAAAATGGATGGATAGTTTTGTCATAATACTAAGGGATAGACTTTCTGATACCATGATGATAATTTAAAAAAAAAATCTTTATTTAGACAATAGAATTTCATTTTCAAAATGAAATTATAGTACTTTCTTTTACATTACTATGTGGTTGTCTTACATTTGTGGTAGGTTTGTGGTCTGTGGGTGTATCTTGTGATCTTATTCTGGATCTGTTACAGTTCAAGATCATTCTAAAGCTATTTACGAAAGGTTTATTTCTGTCTGATTCAAGTTTTTTAGTATTGATACTTGTTCAAATGTGTTTCGTTACTAATTTTAGTATCGATTAGTACCTTATTTTTGATATCTTTTTACAACCCTACATTTAACTGTAATCACGATGGCACTGGTTGGGAGAGTGGGTCCAAAGCCTGGATAGATTTTATTCTTGTCACAAGATTGCTGGGCATTAACTTGGCTAACTTTACTAATTCACACGGAAACTCACATGTTTTTCTGTGATTGCAACGGACCTTTTAAAATGTTCTATACTTTCTGTAGTCAATAATCAGAAAAATTATAAAAATGTAATTTGTCTAGCCATGACAGTAAAATATGATTTGGAAGCTGTGTCATACAACTAGCAAAACATAAAAATATGATTTCTTGCCACCTAGGCTCTCCCTCTCCTCACAATCTCCTATTAAAACTCCTTCAAGCCGAAATGTACCAAATCCCTGGAACGGACGCCACCCCACTGCGGCGTTTCCGTATTCTGGATGGCGCCGACCTCGCTGGGGCCCACATTTTTAAATCTTCGAAGGCAATCAGATTTTACACTCTCTCCTGCCCCACAGCCAAATAATCCTGCTCCTACTGCTTGTCAGGCTGACAGGGAGAACAGGAGCCCGTGGGCTGTGTGCATGTGTGCGCCCAAAAACATCACTATTAGATGAAGCGTGGTCCGCCGAGACCCAAGAGGACAAGACAGGATAATCGAAAAGAAGGTGAGAACCAGATTAAAAACACAGAATAGGGAGGGAGCGCTTGTGTGTAGTGACAGAGGAAAATAGTCAAAATATTTAGAGCGATAAGACGTTTAAAAAAGGGTAATAACTGGATGATGCCAGTGACAGTCCGTGTCCTGGTTAGAGGGAATAGATTTTCTACTATTTACACAAAGCACAGACCAGCAAAATGGATTAGAATGTGCATATCAAAGCTGGAAACTGTTGCTAATAACCACATGTATCTGGTAGAAATAAAGCCAGGTACCTTTTTGAGGGGACCAGTACTTTAAAGGTCCTATATTATGCTATGTTCTGTTGTTTCATAAAAAAAAAAAAACAGGTCTGAAATTGTGTTTTGTTTCATTCACATTTAACACACAAATCCTGCAGAGTTCTTCTCTCAAACAGAAAACGCTCAAGTGGTAACACAGGAACTGCTCCAGTGTGTTTTAATCTCCATGCTAGAATCAGTTGAATGATTTCAACTCTGGAATTTCCAATCTCTACTGAACTAAAGGTAAAAAGTAGCTGTTAATCTGAAAACTGCTGCTTCATGACCACACAAAGTGGAACACAGCATTTTGAGCTTTGGAAATGTAGACAGATTAATGATAAAGAGTTACTCAAACATGTGCTAATTAAACAAAACACAACTCCAGGTATGTTTTTGATGAGATAACTGAACTGAACTGTACTTTTCCCAGTACATTAACCTGCATTTATCATTATCTAAAATTACAAATTAGAAACATGATGTTCAAATATTTCTAAAATAATTTCTTTGAATAAAAAATATACAGCAATGTATTTTTTTATTTTTTTGTTTTTTTTGTAGTCCTACTGTAGTCTGGTACCTTTTAACAACACCCAGCCGCGATACTGTAATTTGAGCATAAGCTATGTCGAAAATGTTTCATTAACTAAATTATAAAGTATCTTTTAGTAAATAGACTGGAAAACAAATGACAAAAGGTACAATAGCACTATGACAAAAATTACTGCAAAGACAAGACTGCAACTGCAACTGTAACTACTGCTACTACTGAACTAAGTCATATCTTCTATATATCTGTTGTCCCTGCTTCACTGGGACAACAGTTGTTAGACCTATTCACAGAATCAAGACAACACGCACTTCCACTCATGACCACTAGATGCTGCTTCAACAACAAAGTCTGTAAAAAATGCTTTTTACAGACATCACACAATAACGATGTGCTTTTAAAAAAAAAAAAAAAAAAAACATACATAACACAATGACACGGTAACATTGCATTTTCCGAGCCCAAGAAAAATGTAGATGCAACTCACCATCACGATGCTCTGTTGCAGGTTGCACAGTCCAGAAGTTTGAAATCCAGGATCTTGGCGCATTCCCAAAGGAAGAAGGCCTTTCACAATCCGAATCTGGCGCATCTTAATTTTCTTATCCAAATAAGAAAATGTGAAGTTACAGAATATTTATTTATTTATTTTATTTTATTTTTTTGCAGAAGCCTGAAGTTCAGTCCTCAGGTGTTTCAATTGGCTGTAGCAGATGGCTCCAATCAAAATGGCGGAGACGGTCTGTCAGGTTGCCCTCAAAAAAGGCCTAGCAACTTTCCAAGTCTTGCTTGGAAAAAATCGATAACTGTTTCAAGTTAACACCAGTTTTAAAGTAGACTTGTTAGCATTAATTGTGAACAAAAATCGATAAGCCTGTACTCGCGCTGTAGTTCTGTATGTTGACAGGTTCATGTGCGCTGCGCGTCCGTCCTCCTACCGGTACCAAAGCGCAAAGTAGAGCCTCTCCTCCGGTACACCCGTGCAGGAGGTCAAAGGTCACAGGTTCATAATTAAAACTGCCATGAATGTACTTCAGTCATTGATCAATTAATAAAGATTTCAGTGTGTTAACCAATTTACTCCCGCGCTTCTCGTCTCCACGCACAGGCGCAAAAGGGGCAAAGAGGTCAGAACCAATCTAACAAAAACATATAACCTTATACAATATTCTCAGTGCTACGTGACCTGTAAAAATCTGATAATTCAATTATTATGGCTGTGTGTTGACATGTACAGAAAAAAAATCAAAAACATATGTGGTAGAGGGTGTTTTAGTTAATTAATACATTTTATTTAGACTAACTGTTGTAATTGGGAGACAAACCTGTACGTCAGATTGCTCACAGCGCACGTAACTTTTTACAAAACTTAAATAATGACTCAATAATCTGATCAAACAGGCCTATAATAATGTTTTTGTTCCTGTATATAGCCAGCGTTCACAGTACAAACAAGTACAGTAGGCTGTTTTATTTTTTTTATCATTAATGGACATAACATAAAGCGAACAGCAGGTGGTAGCAGAGCATTGTATTTCCACTCTTGAAAAGCAGGCAATAGACAAATCCTGCTCACTCCACTGCAACAGATTTCAGGTTAACCAGTTTTCTGAACATGCATCACTAATTATATAGTAAGACTTGGGTTTTTCTACAGATAAAGATTAGAAATTTGGTAAGTTTAAAATGCCTATATTACACTTTTTTCTTTTTTTAAATCTATGTTGCAATGTTGTTTCCTCGTCACAAACATACCTGGAGTTTGTTTCATTTACTCATGCTTATCATATCACAGGGAGAGCTCTACTGTGTTTTTAAACTCCCATACACCTTCACTAGAATGGATCATTTCAGCTCCAGAATTGCCAATCTCTACTGAACTAAAAGCAAAAGATAGATGTTAACTCGAAAACTATCACTTCATCACACAAAATGGAACAGAGCATTTTGAGTTTTGGAGATGTAGACAGACTAATAATGCAGGATTACTCAAACATGTGTGAATGAAACAAAACAAAACCAAACTCCAGGTATGTTCTGACATGACTAAAAGCTCAAAACAATCCATTTTGGTAGGACTTTTAGTGTTCACAAAGTAACCACTCCATATTTATTTAATCAAGACGCTGCACGGACTGATAAGGTTAAACAAGATCTTTTTATTCAACAATAAAAATAAAATAAAATATTAGAAAAAATATCTTAAATGAAAGAACTTTACAAATCCTGCCTGCAACTTTATCTTGTCCGGACATAGAAAAGTACAAAAGGCACTGCATAGAAATTCTGCTGCGTATATAAAACATTACCAAACCGAAAAGGGAGACGCTACAAAGATTGACATCACATTTTTCTTGACCACAATCTTTTGCATTTGTTAGCAGTGCAGACTTGCTTTAACCCAGGTTAGAGATTCAATAGATTTACTCAGAAAAAAGCCGAACATTGAGTAAGGAGTGCATTTTTTTTTAACACAAAACAGTAATTATAAGACTTACAAGTTACATTTTTGCTTCAGTTGTTAACATTGTGGCAAGATAAGTAGCATGTTAAGACTTTGCTAAATTTCTCCATTAATATTTCAACATTTTTGTCTTGTTTTTACTTTATTTTGTGCCTTTTGTGAGCATTCATATTACAACTGCATCACTGGACATTCTCTGAACATTCGAAACCCTCGGAGTCTAGAAGCTGGTGGGGGACACACAAAAGAAGGTAACAGGAGAAAGCTGAAAACCTGGTTCGTTTTAAGTCTGGTTACGCAATCTCTTGAATTTAAGTGGCTTTTGTGTTACATTCTTTGCCATTCTTCAAAATCCTCAGGCATCTCAAACACTGTCAGCAAAATAAAGCATGCGTTTTTTCTGTACCTCTGCTGAATCAAATGTGCAAACTCTTTATTCATTCATAGTCATTAGTAGCTCCGAGCAAATGGCGACAGCACGTTCAACAATGTTACGCAAACCCGCAATCTCTTTGGCATCCGCATCCTTGTATAACCTTCAACCTAGACATACACAGATAAAGAACAATACAATGTGCCCGTTTCAGTGTAGAACAATTTCAGTTTGGCATCCAGTGGAAATATAAAGGTCCACTCTGATCATAGGAAACCATGCTCGTCCAGTCCTTTGGGAGTCACTGGGTTCCATTTTAGAACAGTTTTTGAAGAATAGACTGAAAAACAAACAAAAAGACAAAATGAAGTTAGCGCAAATAATAATCATATACATTTCTTTAAGTTTATGTGTGTCTAAAATTATATTATTAAAACGCCTTCCTGGTGCCTTCTAGTTTGGACTGGAATTTGGAAATTACTTGGACACAGTAGCTCAAAATTACAACCCTACCAAAGTAAACCCTATTAAAACTAAGAACAAACTGGGAACGCCTAGGAGCTATATGTATAAGGAAGTCTGGGAGTATGCTTATATATATATATATATATGGATATATATATATATATAATATATATATATATATAATATATATATATATATATTTTTATATATTATATATTATAGTAACTGGATGCATAGATGATCTGCATTATGTTTAATGTTATCTTCTTGTCTGTTTTTTTTTTCCATTCTATTCACTGAGGGTTAACACTGTATACTGTAGTAGAGCCGGTGAGACGACTCAACCTTGTTGTCTAAAAGGTCTTAAATTACGTAAAACTGACTCTTGTGAGCTTTAAGCCATGTTAGAATGTTGTTACCTCATCAAAAACATACCTGGAGTTTTGTTTCATTCACACATATTTGAGTAATCCGTTATTATTAGTCTGTCTACATCTCCAAAGCTCTTTACTTTTATTTTTACTTTTTTTCGGTAAAGATTGACAATTCCAGAGCTCAAATCATACAAATATTTTTTAGTGAAGGATATGGTGTTTAAAAACGCAGTGGATTACTTACTGTAAGAGAGTGTTTTTCGGTTTGTGAGAATCTAAATATGCAGGATTTATGTGTTAAAGGTGTGAATGAAACAAAACAAAACTCCAGAAATATCTGTGATGAGGAAACATTATAAAAGATAGGAAAATAGAGTAATACGGGCCTTTAAACTGCACCAGATCGAGGATATATAGAGTTTATATCTAGCACTAGCATTTATTGAGGCTTGGGAATGGCTCAAAGACTACATTGGTGTGTAGTGTGCCATACCTTTTTCTGCATTGTGATAACTATTATGTCACTTTCATAAAAAATTGTAAATACTAAACAAAATTTTTCATTGTCCATTGCAAACTACCAACATTGTCGGTGTAATAACGTAATTTCAATTGATATGGCATTAAAAGTGAAAATATATTAATAATTACCAGGATCTGCTCTGTTTCTTGACTCCAGTGTTTTAACATCTGGCACAGACACACCCCTACCCTCCATGTCACTCTCCCCCGACGAAGTGTGCTCGTCTGCTTTCAAATACTTCTTGTGATATTTGGCGCGATAAGTGTCTGTCATACAGTTGTCCACAGAAAAGTAGGTAGTGGGGAGCACCCTGTCACTGAGGGTGGGGGAGTCTGTACCATCAGGCCCCCCCGTGGTCGGGCTTTCACTTTCGCTTGCCGACAAATCGTTCCTGTCTTGGTCCGATGATTTGGAGCTTGCATCGGATGAGAGGCGGTGCTCTGCGGGGGTCTCTATCCAGCGGCGAAGGCTGGTATGAGAGAAACCATTTCTTGCAGGCTCGCCGGGGGAGTGAGCGGGGATGCCTGTGAGCTCTGAGCGCGCTGTGCCCTGTGGTTTTGGGGGTAGAGTTGGGTGGTAGGGCTCTAGGAGAGGGGCAGGCTCCTCTTGGGTGAGGTCATCTGAGCTGTTCCACTCGGAGCTGCTGGTCTTGGCCAGGTAAGGAAGGCCTGGGCTCTCAGGGCTGCCGTCCACGTTGTCCTCACGTTCACCGTCGTGATCGCTCACCCTCTCCAACATACCAGGAGTGTATCGGAAAGCTTGGCGTCTGAGAGAAAGAAAAGATTTAAAGAATAATTTATGCACCATGTTAATAGAGATGTTACCAGTGACTGCTCACTTCCCAGTTCCTGAACTAAATTTTACTTTGATTTTTCCTATAGACATTCTGAAAAAAAAATATAAATATAATATATAATAATATATATTATATATATATAATATATATATATATATATATATATATATATATATTATATATATATATAGCTGATTAGCTCAGGGCTAATTAGCTATGTGGTAACTAATGACAACAAGACAGATTTGATTGAATATCTAGTAGACTAGAGTTTCTAAAACTTTATAAACCACAAAGTTATTAAAGTTTTTCACAAAATCTTGTGTTTTAAATGTGCTTTTTCGACTTAAAACAGTGGAATTATGGATATTAATTAGCAGGTAACTGGTTAGCCTCCAAGATGACTTTGAACTCTTAATTTTTGAATTTTTAAGTCTATGGAAAAATTAAAGAATGTGAAAATGTACTTTTACCAGACCTGGAGCAGGTGGTCACTGTTGCGCTCTATGCTTGATAAGTGTTACTTTTGTTATATTAAAGGTGCATTATGTTTTATTTTTACTGAACATGCTGTAGTGTTTAATAGAATGTTCCATGGTATCGCATTAAATTTGGCCTGGTGGTTTGGAGATGGATAAATTACAGTTCAGATCTGTGGAGAGGCACCCCTACTCACAGTAGCAATGCATGTTTTCCAAGGAATTGATGAGCAATAAAAAGTAACATAGTGCACCTTTAAGTTCTTGCATGTGGAAATGTAATAAAGTGCTACAATCACAGTGGCCCTATTTTCATATAATGTTTAACTAAAAGTTAAAAACAGAAAGCAGAACACTGAAACCTCCACCAAGGCACCAGCATTAACTCACAATGGTAAAGAAATTACTTTTATTATTAGTTCACACTGGTAGTTTATTTATTGCAAATTATGATTATGAAAGTTGCCATCTTACCTCTGCATGCGCTGTCTCATGTGGTTTGTTTCCTCAAGCAAATGTGGGTTTTTTCTTCCATCTTCACCTGAAAAGTCATAACACAGATGATTGCGGAGACAGTCACTTACTTAAACAGCTTCATCACGTCTGAATGCCTGCAGCCTAGACTGGTTATCCAACAGGGTCATGGCCTGGTGTGGAGGCAGGAAGTCTAACAGTGCGGCCTTGGGGGGTATGTAAGCCCCAACTAATGAAACAATACCGACCCTGAGTGAACTTGTGCTGAACAATGTTAGGAAAAACAAGCAACAGATATGAATATTGCAATAACTAAATGGAAAAATTTGTAAATTTTTAAAAACGAAGGCAGTTTACTGAAAGCTTATTTTCTTTTCACTTTCTTTTTTTTGGTTAGACTTGAATCCGAACTGACAAAGCCACACGGGTGAGATGGCAAAAATATTCACTCTGGAAACTTTTGTCCAGTCCACAGAAGCTTCTTTTGCCAGGGCTTTAACTCTGAAAATCTGGGACGAAATCACACAGTCAAGAATTGTAGAGCCTTTGTGTGGTTTTGGGGAAAGGAGAAACTAAATATTCTGAAGATCTTTAAATTGCAAAATGTACATATACACAAATACAAAACATACAATAGATTTCATAAGTGCAAATGTAACACAAAGCTGAAATTAGCCAAATGAGTGTGATTTACAGACAACAGCTGAGTACCAGGAGACCGTAGTTAGAGTCTAAAGTCCATATGAGATGTGTCAGCAGAGCTCTCTCACTCTTTCTCTCCGTCTCTCTCTCCCTCTCTCTCAAAGCATTAGTGGCCAAATCCTTTGTGCTGGCACGCAATTACAACAGGGTCGGACAGCAGCGTTCAGATCCCCCTTCACTAACACTAACACTACTGCCATTTTAAGCTGCTAAGTCCATGCCGCGATTCACAATTTGATGCCTCTCTGATCTGCAGAGTTGGCGAGCCACTGTGACTAAATCATTTACAAATAACAACAGCTAAAGAGAGTAGACAAATCTTAGAAATCCTTACATGCTTTATACTGGGGATAAGCAACTTTGACTGAACATGTGAAGTTTAACAATTTTCTTAGATCCTCAATTTTAGATTCAATGCAGTGGTAGAAGCCAAGAGCAAAACAGATTAAATTAAATGTTCTGGTCCGTAGCACATCCTGGGATAGGCTCCATGTAATTTGAATAGTTGTTATGTTGTTATACGCAAGACTTGTTACAGACTAGATGGGAATATGTGCAGTGAAGTTATAAAGTGCACTTCAACAGCATAATGTTCATGAAACATTTTCCAACAAGGCAACTTTTTATATCTGCACCAATTTTTTCAAACTTCAGAAATTGTACAGACAAAATAGCATATGTACACTATTTTTACAAAAGCAAATAAGCAAAATAAACGCTTCATGTCGATCTAGTATAGAACTACAGTAGGGATGAAATGATGTGATACTGGTATTGGATATTGGTTTCAGGATATTGGTTCGGCCGAGATCATATTTTGGTCAATAAACTGGTGTAATAAGACTTTATTTATAAATCTATGTTGGCTCAAAACATCTTGTAATATAAAACATGTACTTGTACTTTTTTTCAAAGCTCTGTTTTTACCTTAAATGATAAAGAACACACTGGATAATATTTTACCATACAGAACTTGTGTTTATAGGAAATAAATGATATTTTCAGTCTCCGCCATAGTTTTGGCTGATATCAGGGTATCGTCAGAAACTCAAAGCCAAAATATCCACATCGGAATCGAAACAGAAAAAGCTGGATTGGTGCCTTGCTAAACTTCAGATCAGGACTTAAATGGTGCATTACTTTTCTGGTGGAGGGTCTGCCTCTTGTTCGTTTCATTGGAGATGTTATTGCTTTGTCTGGAATGTTTGACATTAAACTTATCTGTCTCCATGAGAGCTGGTGGCACCACCAGGCCAAGTTACAGGTCAGATCTGTGGACAGGAAAGCCTGCTCACAGTTTCAAGGTCTTACTGAGTGAATGCAAGAAAGATAAAAATGTTAAATGTTGTAACGTGTATAACTGTGTAACATTCCATTAAGAGCAATAACATCTCCATCGAGACAAGCTGGTGATGAACGCTCCACCAGAAAAGTTACATACACCTTTAAAGTACTTAATGAAGTTGTCTCATAGGCTATTACAAAGACGTATAGGTGGCAATAGGTTGATGATTTATTATGGACAAAGCGCACGTAGTCCAAGGTGCTTTGGATTCCAAATGAACTCCTTGGCAGCCAACAGCCATGACCTGTTCTTCGACTATTTATACAGGCTTGGTACTGCATTCTTATCAGTGCACATGCCAGTATGTTGCTTCTCTTTTGACAGCGTTTCTGTAGAGGATTCTGATCTTTAATGCAGTTCTGGGTCCTGTTCTAGCTTCTCTCAAACTACAGCTCAGTCAGACTACAGAGCTACAGAGCTACAGAGCTACAGAGCTACAGAGCTGAACCAGGGCCAAAGTGACTCCGGACACATTTACTACAGTCGGTCGATACAATATGCAGGCATGAGGGCATAAATATAACATAGTGAACTGCAGCCAGTATCAGCTGAATACAAGATGGTAGTGTAGGGAGGATTTAAGCCCAGGTTTTCTCCAAGACCAAGTATTTTTTGGGTTGAATTTTACTTCATAGCCCAGTAATACCATCATAATAGGATTTGAATAGCATGGTAACTGGGGTAGCAAGGGATAGAAAGGGATAAAAATATTTCATGTTCAAGTTTTTTGATAATTCTCTATGCTATAACTGTGTGACAAAGTAAGGGTTTATTTTAATTAATATTGTTTGAAGTATTACTCATTTACAAAAGACAAGCACTGTTTCTTTCAGACGTCTTGTTGAATCTCTGAAAATGCATTAGAGAGCAACCATCCTCAAAAACATTCAGACAGGAGTTCAGCTTTATGTTATCTGTGCCATTTTAAGGACTTTTTCCCCATTTAAAAAGTTGTTTAATTGTTCATCTCTACAGCAACGTTCCTATTTTAATTTTTCTGAAACTCATGGATATAGGGAGCTGGTAGATAAATGTTATTAAGGTTAAACTATGTATGATATATTCCTGTTATATGTAGAAATCCATATCCCTTTAACACATTAGCTCCTTTAATCTCCATAGTGTAGCATTTGCAGGATAAACTTTAGTCAGGAAAAAGGTCAAGGCGAGTCATGGAGGATACAGAGCGCTCTTATTTCCATACACAGCACCTCCACATCCCCAGTCCGACCTTAACACTGCACAGAGACCAATAAATCAAATACAGCTCTCACTACTATCTTAATAAGGGTATTGCAATTCAATGTCTACAAGTATAAGGAAATGAATTTATGTTGAGGGCAAGAGCCTCAAATACTCATGTCAGTTGAAGCTATAATAACAAATCTCAAAACCTTTCACAATTTTTGCAGTTCTTTAAATCTGTTTTTTATTTTTAGCTATGTAAATATGGCTCAAATTCTGCTTACCTTGAGAAAATGTAGATATATTGTCTTCATTTCTCCTCTGAAGGAAGTTATCTCTGTAATGAAATAAGTGGTATAAATTATTTAGAAGGGGAAAAATGGTGTCATTACACAATATGTAATTCAATTATTTCTTTTGCCATATATGGTGTCCACAAATTAGCAAGCAGACATTTTGAAATACAGTACATTCAGTGAGGATACTGAATAATGCATTTGATCATAGTGGCTCTCCCTCTGAGTACACAGAGTACTGAGTTGTCAGCTAGTTAGGATCATTATCTCCAAACAAGACCTAGACTACAAAGCTAAACAGCGACAGGGCGCCACATCTGCCTCGTGAGCATTTATGTTAAGTGGATCCTGCTATTCCTGGAACAGTTTGTTTTGTAATCCTTAATTATTTATAAATGGCAGCACTTTTAGGACTTAAACATTACAATGAGAGAGGCAATGGATGAAAAAGCAGAACTGGGCAGCAAAAAAAAAAAGCTTCAGTATTCTCTTAAGCTACTAACTAATGTATATTACATGAACGTGATTATGCAATATATTGTGATGTTTAGTTTTTTCTGTTTAATTTTCCACCCTCTACGACTACTAGTCAGATTTTGTTGTGTTCTGATTGAGTGACAGATGGACCTGAATCACAGTGAACTCTCAGAGGAGGATTAATATGAGTAGCATTATAAAACTAGAAGTGTACTTAAATTGTGATCGTACAAAATGTTGGTAGCACGGGAATGCCGGGAATGTTAAACAGTATGGGCTTAAATATATCTATATACATGGATATACTCTATATACAGTTGAAGTAACAGGTCAGCTCTGCACAGACGTAAGATAATAAACAATAACAATACATGTTTTTCAAGGGTTTTTGTCAATAAAACAATTGAATAAAAGCAAGATAGACATGTTGCATACTGTCAAACAGTCCAGGCAAATCAATAACATCCACTTTTGCTGGAGACCAGCAAATGATGGACCGCCACCGGAAAAGCTGCATAGTGCACCTTTGATATTTCACACTTCATGGATATGTTTATTTACCTGGACAGGTGCAGCTCTGGTATAGTCCGCAAGTCCTTAGAGGAATGATTCTCAACTACAGGAGAGTCCAGATTGGTCGACCCATTGCTTTGACGGTCACTGCTCTCATAGCCAGACTCCGTTCTCTGCATTTTCCAGTTATCGTTGTGCACTTTAAGCGTCGCCGAACTTCTGGACCTATCGCTGTGCCCTCCTCTGCTGTCCGAGTCCAGCGAGCTCCGACTGCCCCCCGTCTCATGTTTCAGTTCATCTTCGTAAATAGTCATGAGGGACTTGGGTTTGCGCTCTTCTCTTCCCTCTCGCCCTTGCCATATAAAATCCCGATCCCTTTCTCGATCGCGGGTCGGGGACTGGCTATTCGGTCGCCTTCTGGGACTATGCTGCCTTCTCTCCTGGCTCACATTGTTGGTCCTCAGAACGCTGTCCACATTGAGAACCTCGCGCATCGGTTTCCAGGGGCGACCGGACCTGCTGCGACTGCCCGGGCGTTCCCTGGAATCCTGGCTGGAGTCAGTGTCGTAGCCGTTGGAGAGTTGGTCGGTCTTTGGGCGGTGGTTACTGTTGTTGGTGGGCAGCACTTGGACCCGTGATTGTGTGCGTTGGGTTTCGTGAGGGGCGCGTACCACATGGGCGGTGCGCTCAGCCCGGATGGGACCTTTGCCTTGACTTGCGTAAAGTCTTGTCTCCACGTGCTGTTTGAAGCCGTTTTCAGGAGGGGAGGCCGAACGGGAGTAGATCCTGTCATTACCGTTATCTAGGGAGAAAAAGAAAACCTTCAGTGGTAGTCAAAAAATTACAAATACCCCAGTCAGATCTGATGTAAATGCTATTTAAATTCCTTGAGAAGGGAGTACCTCCTGCTTGTCTCCATGGAGATGTTATCTCTTTGAATGGAATGTTTTTCAGTATGACATTATTGGCATTATTATCCATCTCCACAAAGACAAGCAAGTCAAACAGTTACATAATGCCCCTTTTGTTAATGGACACACAAAACAAAAATATCATGTCAGATTTGCAAAAGTTCATTCTAAAACAAGAACACAACATAGTAGAGATGTAACAGTAACCGAAATATCGTGATATTGTATTGTCAACGTTCTCACAACAATATCATGGATCATCACAATATATCAAATTACAAGTCTCATTGCTTAAATTAAGAGTTATGGTGCAGCAATAACTAAAAAAAATACAGAGGTTCTAAATAGACCATGATCCTTTGTTCCATTTCAGTATAGACTACAAGAAGAAATAACAGTTCTAAACACTTTTAAGTCTTAGTTCTTTGGATTAACTCTGTCAAGACATTTTAAGAGGAAAAAGTAGCATATTTACAGTTTTGTTAGCCTCCACAAAATATCATAATAAATATCGTACTGTGAGGTTCATATCGTGACGATATCGTATCATGAGACTTTGATATCGTTACACCCTTACATCATAGCAGTAGTAACAGCATACAAAACAAGATGTCTATTTGTTAACCACATCATGCATTAAAACAGCACAATAAACAGTGTCATGTGGTTTCTCCTTATTGTGCAGAACTACGTTTGTGCTGCCAAAGCCCAAAAATTTCCCCAAAAAGTTTCGTGAGGCGACACAGCAGGTTGAACCAAAAGTGACGACAAAGCAAGACAACTGAGGAGTGACGCAGAGGTGAAAATGAGAGCCACCAGGAGAGCGCAATCCTGGGGTAATGAAGAACCATGAATACATTTAGAGCTGATAAAATAGATCTTATGAATGCGTACGTGTGTGCGTATGTGTGTGCGTTTGTGCGCGACATGATGGAGGGACATGTCTGGGCGAGATGGTGTGTTGAGGATATGCGTCTGCTGCTCCAAGGACAGGGACAGTCATAACGGCCACTGTCAGAATATATGGCCCACATCCTTCCTGCGCTGGGCACATGCAGCAGCTATAGGCGCCTGCACTCGCCCTATGGAATCTGCCAAGTATTCTTCAATATACAAAAGTGTTTCTCAACCTTTTTATCCTGAGTGACCTCTAAGCTAAATACCCCTAACACAGGTACTGCTACTGCTACTACTTATACTCCTACCAGCCTTACTCCTACTACTACTTTTAATACTTCTAATACTCCTACTATTATTCCTTCTACTATTACTCCTACTATTACTCCTTTTACTACTCCTACTATTACTCCTTCCACTACTCCTACTATTATTCCTTCTACTACTCCTCCTACTACTACTCGTAATATTCCTCCTACTACTGCTCGTAATATTTCTCCTACTACTCCTACTACTATTCCTAATGCTCCTAATACTCCTATTACTCCTACTCCTCATACTCCTCCTAATACTCCTACCACTCCTACTACTGCTCCTAATACCCCTACTACGTAATCTGTGTACTTTAGTGTCTTGTATGTTTTACTTACTTGTTTCTATGATACCGAATGAAAAAATCATTTGGACAATCTTAGCAAAGTAAGAACATTTTCATAATCAAATAGTATTCAGTTTCACTTTCTGTTGAAACCTGTCTCCGTACCACTGGTTGGGAAACACTGGTCTACATCAAAAGTGTGTATTACAGTATTACAGTTTTGATGTAATATTTATTTGTAAAAAGAACACTGACTCTATTAAATGTTTAGGCAATTCTGTTGGAAAATCAATCAAATCCCCAAGTACAGATTACGTGATTTGATTCATCTGATCATCTTGGATACGAGCCCACGTGTGAAATACCTTTAGTATTTACTGACTTGACGAAAATGCTTGAAATACTTGTACGATAAAATACTACCAAGTCCAAGGTTCACCAGACTGCATGTGCAGACAGAAGAAACACAAATGCAAATCAACATGTGCAGGGTATGTAAACATTATAGAGCTCTTGTAACGTGAGCCTATGAAAGTTGACCTATTCAGTGTTCTGTAGCACTGCCACAGACATGACACTGTGAGGACACGTGAGGGCTGCAAGACTGATCACAACTAAAATGTAATGTAATGGCTGGATGATTGGCAAAAATCACAAAATCTGTCAATATAATGTCCTGTGTGTATGCATTGTGTGAACTGAACATCATATTAAAGCACTTCTCTCTTATTTAATGTCTCGCTCTCTTTTTAATTTTGTGATGATTACTTATGTTTTGATTTGTCTGTATTGTGATTTTAAGTATTTCTTATTCTGTAAAGCACTTTTATTACTTTGTGTACTTGCCTTGTCTAATATTATACTAATTTCTGATGTATGTTATAATATTTTCTCATTAAAAACACATCTGGAGTTTTGTTTTGTTTCATTCACACAAATCATTCATATTTATGCAGAGTTCTTCTTTCAGTCTGAAAACAATCTGTTACTCCTTGTGATGTCATGTGGTAATAGAGGAAGTGCTCCACTGTGTTTTTAAACTCCACACACCTTTATTAGAATCATTTGGATGATTTCAGCCCTGGAAATGCCGATCTCTACTGAACTAAAAGTAAAAAATAGCTTGTAACTTGAAAACTACTGCTTCATGAGTCATGATATTTAAAGGTGGAGCATTTTGAGTTTTGGAGTGACAGACTAATAAGAAAGGGTTACTCAAACATCTATGAACAAAACAAAACACAACTTCAGGTATGTTTTTGATGAGGTAACAACATTCCACCATGGCTTAAAGCTCACAAAAGTCAGGACTTTCAACAAGAATTCACAAAACTAATCATAATGGCAAAATTGTAGAGCCTTATGAAGCATCTTAGTACATGCTTGTCAAATTTAAAAGGCAAAAGTAACAAGATTTTCCACTATAACTTTGCCCTTGGTGAAAGAGACAGGGCTCTACAGTCTGTTCTGTGTGAGATTGGGATGAAGGCAGACACTAACACACGTCAGCACTTAATCCCTTTTCTGACACATTGCTCCCAAACTGTGTGTTACGTAACAGCTCAACACATGAACGCTGGTCTTTCACTTCACAAATCACTGCACTTTTCAAATGTGAAATATATTCATGCATCGTGTTTTAGAGTCTCTCACCTCTCACCCGAGACTCTAGCCTCCGCGGTGCGCTCCTCTCTGCCTCACGTCTGGACATGTGCATCCCCTGGACCTCTCCTGCTCGGTGGGCCGCTTCTCGAGAAATCTCCCTCATCTTATCCAGTTTTACTATAGAAGGAAGTGAGAGATTAGATGAGAAAAATACAGGGCAAAGAAAGCAGAACAAGAAGAAGGGTGGGTGTGAAGATTAGATTTCTGCAATATGTCAGAAATGTGCTCAGAGTTCAAGTATGGCACAAATGCTGGAGCATGTTTTTGTTCTTTTTTCAATCAACACGTTTTGAAGCTTTTTGAGAGAGCAAAATGGGAACAAAGCCACATATAAGCTGCTTCTAAATTTAGAGCATATTCAGAAAAACACAATCAAAGCGAGATACTGCTGACTACGATGTATACCAGCAAAATTCACCAACAGATCTGAGTCTTTATAACGTCTAAGGAATTTAATTGAAAAACTTTTGCAGTTTTGATTTTTTTGTCAAAAGCTACTGGCAGATTCTCCTGACAGCACAACAAAAGCAGATGTTTCTTTTTTAAAACACACAATCAAAGCAAACTAGTGAAGACCAAAAAGAAGAAAAGATCATGAATGAACTTTCCTCATATTGATCAATTCTATTTTATCTTTTATCTGTTATCTCAAAAATAAAAAAAAAAAAAAATGATTTGATGAACATAAACACAGTCAGTGCAGTTTTCATCAAAGTCCAAACTCTGCTTCAAGTTACATGTTTGAACTGACAAAGAACTGGCTGTTGATCTCATGATTAAAAAAGCTTATGCAAATCACTGACTATTAGAAATGACTGAACCTCAACCTCAGTTATTAAGTGTCTGTTATTAATATAAAAATGTAACATAAGTAAATATCAAAAAATAAACTTTGCATATCTGTACCTGGTCCTCTTGGTGTCGCTGGCGTGGTTGCTGTTGTGACCACTCGTGTAGTTGCTGTGTTGTCCACTGGTCTGTCCACTGGCTCGGCTCAGAGTGGAGTGAGTCTTCTGCACAGACGCTCCTTGACTCAAAAATGCATTCAGATTTTCTCTTGTCAGCTCCAGCTTTTTCGGAGGGGGAACTGGTGAATCGGAACCTGTGAAAAAGACACAAAGAGCATTTAAAATCGAAGGAAATCTCATCTAACGCTCTTTCTTACCTTTATGAAAGAAAAGTCAGTACAATGTAAGATGAGGATTTTAGGGAGGGTTTTTTTGAGTTGTGTTTGTCTGCTCTGACGGACAGTGCAGAGAGCAGGAGGATGGTCTTTAAAAAGGGATCAAGCTCCACAACCAAACAAATCCATGGAGATATAATCCGGCAAATGTCAAATGTTCAGCTGGTGTCAACAACTGATTTGTATGACAGCTACTAGCATGGAGTCACTGCTTTGACTTTAATTCATTTACTCACTATTATACATGCATGAAGACAGTTAAAATTAAAGGCAGTCAAGGTTAAATGTAGAATTGTTTTTAAATATTGCATAAATAATAATCTCCAGAGCCTCCTCCAAAATGAAGTGAACATTTTTAAAACAAATACTGACTTTTACTGAAAAATAGTTGATTGAGATTGTTGATTCATTCACAATTAAAACAAAATTCATGGTGATGCTTTTGTCAACTGGATCCAAAACACAAATATAAATCTAACTATTAGTTCGGAAATCACAAAATGAGCTCTTGATTTTGCCAGTAAAGCCAGTTCTAAAGATTTGAACAAATATTGATGCAAAAAATATAAATAAAAATCACAACAACCAGACAAAAATGAACCTTTCTTGAATAGCTTATAGAATGATCTCGAGCTCCATCAGAATAAGTATAATTTAGGGTAGGTAAAAATGCTTAGTCTTTGCATATGTCAGGAATAAAAGTTACTGACCATGTACATCTCCGTTGACAGAGCTCTTGTAGTGGTTGCTGGTCTCTGCAATAATGGCACTTCCATCAGGATTGGAGTAAAACAGCAGCAGAGGCTGGAAGTGACCTTTCACACATTTGCTGACCACGTCTTTCCACCTGGAGCCAATCTGCACACAGACGCACACGAGACAGGAGATGTATGAGGCTATGAGTTCATTAGGAGAATACAGGCACTGCTCCAATCTGCAAAAGTTATCTTCAAGTTCTGAGGGACAAGCCTCGTACAATTTCAAAAAGAATGAACCGACCAAGCCTGAAGTTTAACTCAGTAAATTATGTTGATGTAGCATTTTTTCACATTCGATGAAGTGAAGAGAAATTGAAAAACCAGATTAAGTAAAAATCACATTCTACCAATAAGACCAGTGAAATTAATTTTTGAGTGGATTTGATCAAGAAGGAATTTTGCATTAAAACAAATTGGCGCTTTGAAAATGTTGCTCCATAATTTACAATCCTCTGCTCCTTTTTAAATGGCACTTAACCATTTTGTTAGATTTTATTGATCTATTTATCCTTTAGTAATTGTGTAATAACATTGTAAGTATTTGCATTATTTTATAAGTCTGTAGAGAAAAGAAATGTATGTAATGATATATGAATGAAATATGCATTTATCTTCATTTCACAAAAGGAACCAGTTTATCAGTGATGAATTATTATAGCTTTTTCAAGTACAACATGTTCACAGTGAAACTTGTAAAACTTTTTTCTTATATGCAACAAAAAGTTCCCACCAAACACTTAAAAATGCAAAGAAACAAAGGGACAATGTATCACCCAAAAGGCACTTCTAGACAAGCTGCAGGCGAACAGATGTTTGTGCTTCTTAATTAAGCAGAGGAAGAGACAGGAGAGTGGTGGGTGGATACAGACACTGGCATTTGAAAAACACAGATACAGAAGAACAGAAGAAGAGACCTCCACCAAGGCATTAGTCCCAATTCGCAATAACAAGGATATAGATTTACAATTCACATCTAGATTAATAGCCCAATTTTTAAGTTGTGGTAAATTTTTAAGACTTAAATGTAAATAATATCCCTTTTTACTTCTAATCCTGTAGACTAGCAGGGATGGCCCAGTATGGATTTTTCCAGCCAATACTAGTATCCATTACTTAACTTGCTGCTGTGGCCTACATTTGCTGAAACTTACAACAAAATCCACAGTTGCTTTATATAGTTAAATTCACAAATGAACTCTGAACTTTTGGAAAAACAGTAACAAAATGTACTTTTCTAGGATGTAATAAGTAAATCAGTAAATGTCATGTTTTCTTTTCGGCAACTGACTAACATTTGAATCAATCTGACTTACTTTTTGAATCCTATAGCCCAACAAAGAAATACAAAATTCAATCTATGTACAGTCTTGCTGCAGGTAGAGAGTTGGCAGCTGCTGAGCGCTACAGTTCATGCATCAAGGCGTGTATGTGTGTGTATGTGTGTATGTGTATGCGTGTGTGAGGGGAGGGGGGCACACAACAGCACAGACTCCTGATGGATTGACACAGAGCCAGTCAAAGCTGCTACACCGGAAAACATTAGCCGGGTGGCAAACAAAAGATGCTCTGAACATGGAACCAAAACAATAAAACAAAAGACAAATTACCCAAGAATACTGTACACGGAAGACAAGAGGATATTATACTTGAAAATACATATAGTACACACACGGTGGAACAGAGCAGTGTTGCAGCTCAGCATATTCAGTGAGTGTGTAATGGGCTTTCACTTGTTAGGCTTGACTTCACTCTAGCAGTTTTTTCTGATGACAGAGTCAGAAGAGTGCACTAAAGATGGAGCACGAGACACAGGCAGAGCTGACTCCTCACTCCTATAAAAACTCATCAAGGGCAATCGATGGGCCACGCAGTGAAGACAATGAGTGCTAGGTAGCTGGTCATGTTATCGGTTGGAAGTTGATACAAAACAACAAGCAACACATTTTATATCAAATCTGTTTACTTGGACAGTACGCCGCACATAGATCACTAGACTGACCTGTTCACAGCTTTGTACTGACACTTTGCAGCAGATGTCATGATGTTAAATGTTGGCAATGCTGGACCCATTTGAGCCTGCTCTGCATATATTTGAGAAAGACTAAATTCATCTTATAATTATAAAGTATAAGTCTGCATTTCAAAACAAGTTTGCAAACATTTCAAGTTGATCCTTTCCAGCCTTCAGATCTCTCCTCACCTCTTTCACGGTGGCGTCGTCAAAGAAGACCCACTTGGAAGACTTGGTGTGGAAGGCAAAGGCACAGTAGTGACGGCTGGAGAAGCAGATCATCCCCACCAGAAGCAGCTCCCCTTTTTTAGCCTGTTCATCTGTCACTCGCGAGAAGAGCTGCAACCACACACAAAAACACACAAAAACACAACACAAATAAATAACGCGATTACTCATGAGCCACAACACTGCAATAAGCGGAGAGGCAAGTGACTGATGTTGAGGCAAAGGAATCAGATACTCCATGTGTGTATAGATTAAGGTCTGGGGGAATGAGGCAGCATCGATTTGGCGATCAGTTCAAATCAAGGCCAGATTTAATTAGCTCTTCAAGGTGGGACCAAACACAATTCTGAACAGGTAATAAAATGGCTGAACAAATTTTTTAAACCAGCATGAAGTGGGGATTAATCAGTGAATCGTTATTATTCAGGTCACAATATATTCATATTATAATATATAATTGTGTAATTTCAATTAATACTTGCTGGAGGTGTAGTGCATTTTGTTATCATGGAGACAAAAAGCAGACATTAGCATAAACTGCCAAATATGTTTTAAGATGGTCTGAAATCTCAAGAATATGGTCAGATTGTGTTAAAAGAAAGCTCAGATTAAAGTCTAGAGCAGGGGTCTCCAACCTGTAGCTCGGGAGTTACCAGTAGCTCTCCACCTCCTTCCAAGTAGCTCACCAAGGGATTTTGGAATTAAACGTATTGTGCTGAATAATTCAAACATGATTAATTACCATTGTAAATTAGTTATTTTGAATTTAGTGCTCTAATAAATGGATAATGGTTTTAGGTTTTACAGGCATCGAACTGTACAACACTAAGGTTTGCCCTCTTATACTGACTCACTAAAATGAATAGCTCTACAGCATTTTCATTTTGTAAAGGTAGCTCCCCAGACACAAAAGGTTGGAAATCCCTGGCCTAGAAAATGTTCATGATATCCGACGCAAGTATCAATTCAGTCTTTTCTTACAAAAAAAAAAAAAAATTATTGCGTTTTATCTGTCTGTTTATGTCATATTAACATTTATTTATCTTTCACTTTAAATTTCATGAAGCTTACTGTAGGAGTGATGAATTAGACAATGTGACAAAGCAAATTAAGCATTCCACTGTTTGGTCATGGCATTAATAATCAAACAAATGTAAACTTGTGTTATGTTTCTTCTCACAGTAATTGTAACAGTGAAATTTGATGATGACACATTCCCGATATGAAGCATTACATTTATTATCATTGTTGTGATTAGATTAGATTACACAGTGTTTTGATTCCATTATAGAGTAAATTGTAATTGTTCTCATTGAGATTTTATTCTATTTTCATAGGGAAGTTTAGATTTCTCATTTGCTTTCGCCACACTTTCTCCACAAACTTGTTTTTGTTACTGACTCAAAGTGAATCAGGAAGGGTGGAGGCTTCCCTTTAGCACCCAATAAAGTCACATAAAAACAATGTAGTGAATCAATGCTTGTGTTTTGTGGTGACTGGTGGGAGGCAGCCCAGTGCATTCTTCATATAGTGGGCTTTCTTTGTAAATGTCACATGAATACTTTGAATACAGTTATGTAAAATGTAGATGGTGGTGTATGATGTCGTCCTTGTTTAAACTCCCGTGATATAATATATGCAGAGCTGTAAACCAGTGCCCCTATGCAATGTCACAGAGATGAGAGCAGAGGTTTTGACGGAGCCAGCAGGAGCTTTTTGATCAGAGGTGTGAGCCAACTGGGCATAGGGCGTCCACTGGTTATGTAACAGCTTTACACTAATGCGTCCCCACTTTGGTTACCACGTGCCTATAGAGTTGTTAAGGGTCGGGACAATCTCATGTCACAAGATATGAGATCAAAATGTTAAATATTTTCCCCATTTTATCCTTGTGCATTGGTTTACTTATTTTTCAGAATTATTGCTTTGAATGGAATCAGTGTGGCTTTAAACCGATCTCACCTTTGAGAGGTTAAGGAGAGGTCCCAGTGAGTGGATGACTTCTTGGGTTTGGTCCGATTGCTCAGAATCCCAGATGAGGCCAATGATGACGATCTCTGGACAGTTCATGAGGACACGCCTGATTTTAATCTTCTGTCCACAGTTGTTCTGGTGGGAAAATGAGATGAGTGGAAAATGGAAAAATAATATGTACCAGCAGCAATAAAGCATAACCATAGCTCCATTGTCTCTGACCACAATGTTTAGTGGCACAATTTCTAACAAAATACTTATGCTTGTAGTAAATCACAACTGAGGAGCAGATAATTTAAAAAAAGCTGACACATTTAATCACATTTTTTGCTAAACAATGTATTTGATGTACAACAAAAAGGTGAACATGAAATCTTTTACATACTGGACAGTTTCGGTAGTCTCCCATTGTACTCGCTACTTGCAACAATTCCCCAAACGAATCCACATGACGACGATGCAACTGTTGACTACAGAAAAAGAACATAAGGTTAAGATCTGCATTGTCAGCTTGTGTGCGTAGTAGATACTGTCAGCTAAAAAAGAAGTGAACTTTTATGAATGGCCTTGTAGTAAAATGTGCCAGGACAAGCACAAAAAGAGGAGGACAAAGGCGTGTGAGTCATGTTTCAGATTGTGTTTTACCATAAAGCAGTGGTGGAGACGTAATGGACCAGCTCTGTGAACGGTAGTGGGTCGGACGTGGCCCCGCAGCTGTGGCACACAACCTGGAAGAAGAAAAAAAAGGAAGAGTCAGGTTTGTGGAGATACACGCCCATAAATGATGATAAATGATGATAAAAAATGCTTTTATTTTAGTCTTTTTGGCAAAAAAGTTGAATACTGTGGCTATAAGTTCTCCAAATAATCAGAATAGTCCCATTAAAATCTCAAAGATCCATTTGATATTTTGGTTAAAACTGAGCTACTCATTTGTTCTGGCATAAAGTAGTTTCGATGTCATCCTGTATCGTTTATATTTTCTTAAGCTTCAAATCTTTTATCATGACAGGCCAAGCTGGGCATCAGAGTCCCCAGATCAGGGAGCTGGGACAGAGCTGTCTCAGGACTGTGCATTTCCCGTACAACATGTGGCTTTATCAGAAACCACAGTCAGCGCTGCAGTGTGGAGCTCAAACGCCCTCCTTATTCCTGAGGGAACGCTGGCATCACAACATGACTGATTGGATTTCTTCAGCCCCAGACAGTGATGCATGTGTGTTAGCCCGTGTGTGAGCTTGTGTGTGAGCTTGTGTGTGAGCTCGTGTGTGAGCCCGTGTGTGTCATTGGAGGCTTTGTGTGTTCTTTGTCCAATACTGTTGTGTAGGGCGAAAATGAAAAAATAACTCAAGAGCCACAGCAAGTATTTGAACTTTCTTTTCCTAGCCTTTTCCAGGGCTGTCATCACATATGCTCCCCAGTGTGCAGCCATATGAATTTTTATTTGTCTACTATTTTATGCCTAACCCCCAGATAAAACTGTTCATTTGCTTTGGGGCTTTTCTGATCTACACAAAGTTCAAACGTATATAAACAGGCAGAGGAGTTTTTTTAAAAGCTGTGCCTGATGCAGTAACTGTAGATAGCATTTCAAAAATTATGTGGGGAAACTAATGCATAACACAACCCACTGGAACATGATGGAATTATTAACATTTATATTGTGGCTAAAGGCTGATCTTTATACTGTGAGATAGAGGAAATTGACTCCAACAGCCATTTTGAAACTCTATTTTACACATTTTTCATAACATTGCAATTTGACACTACTTCTCCTGTTGTTGTTGTGTTCTTTTGTTCTATAAATGTAGAAATGTGGGATTTTTTCTTGCACTGACCTGCTCATAAAGGGACATAGCAAACTTCTGATGCGTGATACAAGACTTTGAAGTGCAGGCATTCTCCTCCTCAGGCACTATATGCATGTGGATTCTCTCCAGTATGATCTCCTGTGAAGAAAGAACAGGATTTTCAATGGCTGTTTACTAAGAACAAATACAATTCAACCTTTCTGAGAACAGGCTGGTCAATGTAGCAGGCTTTCAGATAAGAAAAGAGGCATCCAGACGCGCTGTAAAATGTCTCAAAAAAGAGCTGGTTCAACATAGATTTAGTGCGTTTCTATGGAGTGTTTAATGGTTTGTAAAATGTTGAAACTACGACTGGAAAGGTTACTTCACAGACTGTTAATCTGACACTGGCCAAGTCTTCACACAAATTCCTTCTCTGGCATTTTCGCCGCCAATACATTACTTGGTGAACACAACAAGGTCAAAGATCTGAGTAGGAGGTGTTCTCAGGACTGTGTGAAGAAGAAACAATTTGGGTAACTAAGCTGTTGTTACGAGAGATTTTCCTGGTAAGAAGTACATAGATGTTTTCTTGAAGTGCCTGTTCATGTTTAACTGGGGGAGGAAGGGCAGAGCATTTAATAGCATTTGAATTGAAAAGTGTCAGGCAGGCCAATTCAGAAATGAAGTTTTAGAAGTATGTAAGACTAAAGTTCTATTCTAAATTACTTCAGAGCTAGTTTCAATGGTCAATAACCCAAATACTGATAGTAATGATAGTAATTTTGTATTTCTGGGTTTCAGCTTCCTGTTATACACAAAATTATGACTTTTTCCCATTCAAAAGTTATTAATTTATTTGTTTTTGTTAAATCGGACAATCGTGTTCATTCTTTATCATTCTGAACCCCATGGAACTGTCTTTAAGGCTAAGGTTATCATGTCCAATAATTAAAAAAAAGTTTCTTAAGCAAAACTCCAGCACCACTATAATGATAAAGCATGTAGTGAAACGATACCATCTGATCCAGCAGCAGCAGCTTCCTGGAGAGGCTTATATAACCTGTCATAATGATATTTAGCAGCAGTGTGGCAAGGGGTGATGGGAGGGGGAGCTGGGGACATGGGCTCTTTGAGTGACCTCGCCGGCAGTTTAGAGCTGCGTGCACAGCTTATACATCAGTTCTCTCCTGATGCACAGGAACTTACAAAGCACTCGGCAGCGTCATCCATGAAGCCCAGCTGGAAGCGATGCTCGTCCTTAAAGGCCTCCGCCAGAGCAACGCGCAGGTTGTCAGAGGGAAGGGCACGCTCTCTACTGTGCTGGAACTGGGAGAAGATGCCCTGGAGAGAGAAAGAAGTAGACAGGGCTGCATAATATGATGAAAAAGCGTCTTTCGTTAACATTACTTTGTATTACAGTAACAATATTATTGCAATATTTTGGCATACTTTTTGGCACAATAAATTCTGTTTAATTTTAATTTAAAACAAAGAAAATATTCATACCTTCATTTATTTCAAACTGGGTCAAAACTTCAAGATAAAACTAAGACCATCCCAAGTCTAATGTAGGATTTAATACGGAAAATCATGAATAAAATCTGCCTTTTTGTCCATTTTTGTCCATTAAACAGTACACCTTTATAAAATGGAGTGTCTGTGTACACTTTGAGTGCCTTGAAGGTGGCAAAACATTATATAAAATTGTGACCATGACCGTTTGACCAACTTGCAATACTGATTATTGTATCAGGCAATATTGAGATATCAATATTTTTGTGATGTATAGTGCACCAATACTGGATAGTCACAGATAAGTTACTACACATTGGGGTAGGAGGTACTGTAGTTCTATGCTGTGTGACTTACACAGAGCAGCTGTTATATGACAAATGATCTACAGATGTTGAAACTAATTATATCACAGAAACTGTGCATCATATTAATTTTACCGCCCATCTTTTAAACATGACAGACCAATAGAATCTTTGTGAGGCCATTTGAAACCCACTAAAAAGCTGAGGAGCTCTTCATTGTACCTTTAATGCACAAAATATGCAGGATTCTCCAAGACAAAAGTGTCCAGGTAACTGCCTCAAGCTGCGCCTGAAGATGTCCAGTTGCCATAGCACCTAAAAAAATAAAATAAAATTAACTTTTCCAGCCTGTACGTTTAAAGCATGTTTTTACAAAGTACAATCTTGGACTTGCTTTGTACAATAGAAACATCCTTTATAATCATACCAAAACATATTTCTCCAGTACAAATTGTTATTCCATGTGGTATGTTGTTTATGCATATGCTATTGAAGGTCAAGTGAACAAAACGGCTGCTGTCCACTAACAAAGGCCAGAGCAGTGGTCATCTTGAGGTGGGTGGGCCGTCTCTGAGTCACTCTGCTGTGGTCACCCCAGAGTGGGAGGACTAATGAAGTCACAAGCAGCTTCCCACAAGTCATAAGCAACCTTCAGCTAACGTACAGTAACTGCGGGTTAAATTTAGCCTGTGACTAAGCTTTTAGAAAATCACTCAGAATGTAGTTAAGGTTGGGCTGAAAAATGCAAAACAGAAAAAAGGTTGCTTTAATTTTCTAGTATTTGATAATAATTGTAGATGAAAGGTTAAGGGCCACTATAATTCAGTAAGAGCAAGTTTTTGAAATGAAATGTCCAAACAGAAAATCCATAAATGTCGAACCAGAATCTTCATCTATCTCCATGATGAAAAGCAGTTGGAAAGTTGTCTTCTAAGTAGATTTTTTTTGTTTTTATACCAGACAAGTGTAAGTAAGCACATAATACATAAATACATATGCACAGCAAGTTCCGTGTAAGCTCTGAGGCAAGGCAAGTGAGCTCACAGAAAGGATGCATGTTTTTCAAGGTTTTATGGAGCAATACATTGAACTGTAATTAATTAAATGCTGTTTAATTTAAAGTAATTAGCCAAAATGGTTGAAACTGGGGCTTTAATTTGAATGTTATTACATCATCAAATGCGGTTACCTGTACAGCGCTGTTGAGAAAGCAGCTGTTCTGCCCCGGCTCGTTCAACAGGCCTTTGGTGGGGGCCAGAGACAGCATGCTCCCCGGCTGGTAGGACTTCCCCAGGTTGCCCCCCGGCTTCCTGAAGAACTTGGCCCATGCCATTGGTTTGTGGGGTCCACAGACAATGGGGCGAAAAGGGTGCTCTGTGGCTAAGTGACTCCACTCGCTGCAGCTGTGAGCCGGCTAAACATCGGCCTCCAGTTCAGTGCTGCAGCTCATGGTGAAAGAGTTTGTGAAAGTGCCAAAAAGGTCAAATTAGTGTATTAAAATCCCACTTTTGTATTTAGGTAAAATTTTCCAGTTCAGTTTGATCCTTGTCTTTTCTCTCCTACGCCAATCCATTGCAGTATTTCAACAAGGCATTTCTCATTGGCCAGGCTGTAAAAAACAGAAATAAAACACACGTGGTTAACATTGAATTGAACAATAAAACACATCAACAAATCATGGGTGTTAGCGTTGCCATTTACAACACAATTTTAAAAAGGATCTTTGACCATTCAAAATATTATTTTTATTCTTTTTAATTGATGTGGCAACAATAGTGCTCATGTTTCTTCTGTCTGCAGTCATACATTTTATCATGCGTTTCAGCTTTCTGTTGTAAGCGACATTTAAAGATACAATATTTGGTTTTGGTCAATCACTACAAGTTAGGCTGGCGCAACCAAGTGCCTCCGCTCAATTTCATTTCTCTCCAGTGACCAGGTCAGGAATCGGAATACACTAGATGGTTTGCAAGAACCCCGGAAGTGCGAGTCCAGGCACTAGCCAATCAGCGAAGAGCCATACATTCTGTTTTGGCAACAATTTTCTGAGACTGAGGATTTAAAGTTGGAACAAAGAGAATGTTTGGTTAATTTTATCAAGGGGAAAGATGTTAATGTCTTCCTTCCTACAGGATTTGGGAAAAGCTTAATACCAGTTAGTCCCGTTATAGTCTGATACATAAGTCATGACAAAATAGCAGCGATTGGTTACATTTAAAAAAAGTACCCTAATGCTGCGAGGTCAGACGGTTTCCACAAAGTGAAACCGGCTGATGAATCAGGCTAAATCGCTATGGCATCGGTCCTAAAAATTCATGGGGCATTTCCTCCATGTAAAACTGTAAATGTGTAGTTAAATCAACTCAAAGTATTTATTAACTAAGGCCAAGTGAAGCACACACAAAAAAACACAAACTTCTCCCATCTGATAAACTTGTTTACATGTTCATTGAGGCATCAAATTGAATAATAAACTCCTCCAAAGTGCAAATAGATTGATCTTTATCTACAACACAGCAGAAATTCGGCCAAGTGTAACTGTCGGACATATCAATATCTTGTTCACCAAAATCTATTAGTCCTGAAATGCCAGTGCTATTGGCTGTTACCAGACAACCACCAAGGGGGCTAAATATTAATTATTTGAAAAACATCTTACACAACCAGGTCCAGTATGTCGATTTTCAGACCTTTCAAATATAAATTGATTAGTGGTTAGAGTCAATAATTAATTTCCAGCAGGTGAACTCACTGTCCTTTTCACCACCACAATTCCAAACAACAAAAACATAGTGGATCTCAAAGCCAGCTTAACAGTACCAAGGCAAATTGTGTTGTTATTCTATTATCGTAAGCACAAAAGAATGCGCATTTGACCTACCTTGTAAATGGGTGCAATTTAACCAAACATTAAAACACAATCTTGTACACCTCAAAGCAGTGGTTTAGTGCTATAATGTGAATGCGGTGCTGAGCAGGAAACTTTAGGGAGAGAAGGAGGAGTGTGATGTACCCAAGGATTCTTCAGATACTACTTCTTTGATTTGTTCTTCTTGGAATATTTGAATGCTTGTGACAGTTCCCACCTTTTTTGGCAACAAAGTACTACATAGTATGAGTAATTCTTCCTTTTGTGCTACTGCTGCTGATTTCATAGCTCTTCCCACCTACATGCTTCAAAATATAAGGATCAAAAAAGAAAAAAAAAGTGAAGGGCTAGACAATGTGGTAAAAAACAAAACTTTTTATTAAAATTCTTTCAATATTTGTTTCAAGAGCAATAAAGGAATACATACTTTTAGTTAAAGGAATTTACCTAAAAAAAAATCTAATTTCTTCCTCCAGTGTATGAAATCTGCCACAAACCTGCTTAATTACAGGCGGAGGAGTGCAACAATTTGAGATGATTGAATTTCAATTTGAATAAAATTCCCTAAATTGCACAGCCCTACCTAGAAGACTCTTTCTTTTTAAATGGATGCTAAGAAAAACTACAATGACACTTTCACTGATGTCCTGAAGAGTAACTTAAAGTTTCAGCCAAAACCAGTCGGACTGCAATTTCTTCCTGGTATGTCCGGAATTCTCAGAGTATAAATGATAGTGTGACCATCAAGGAACATTCAGATCTGATTAGCTCGTAGTATAAATTTGCGTCACTACAATGAACATGAAGTATGAAGTATGAGTATATGCTTCTGTTACCCAATGTACCATACTATACGATACCACAGTGGACGTCACAGCAACAGCTTTCCAAGTAAAAGACTAAGGACAGTGCTTGTGTTTGGGTAACAGCAGAAGCGCCTAAGGGGAAAACTGTACCTTCCCACCTGGATCAGACAAGCACGGGTCTGGACATGTCAGGACGGCAGAACCTGGAGTCTTGACTTGTGAGTGTACATGGAAAATTAGACTCATGGGGTATGGTAGTGTGGTCATGATGCTACAATTTCAAACTCAATTTAGAAACCAAGAAAAAAGGCTTGACACTTGATCGCCTATATATTTCTCTACCAGAATGACAATTTACAAAACACATTTCTGACAGAATGTAATTTCCAATTCAAAATCTGTATTATTACCAAACTAGCTCTGATACAGCTCAAGACCTAAAAGTAGAGATGTAGTAAAGTATCGACACTGTATTGATAAGTATCGATAATGAAAAAGTAGTAAATAATAATATTATTTACTAGTCATAATTGGCCCAGAAAGTCTCATAATGTTTGAACTTTTATTTATATACTATAGAACTCAGCTTAACAAACTTTATTTTGGGATATTTTTTATATTAAAAAAAAGTATATTTATTTTATTTTTCAAATATAAAGATTGTAGAACAGCTGGATATAGTTTATTTTGGATACAATTATGTTTTTCTATGCCTTATTTCATGTTCAAAGTATATTTTATTAATTTTTTATTTTTTATACATTGCAAAACTGCTCTAAAGTATACAGTTGTAAGCTATATTAATTATCAATTAAGTTTTGCATAAATTATCAATAATTTTTTTTTTTGAGAGAGAGACAGACTTGCTGAATAGATGCATCATGTAACAAAAAAATAATAATAATTGTGATTTCAATATTGACCAAAATAATCGTGATAATGATTTTTTTTCCATAATCAAGCAGCCCTAATTTCTAGTATTTGTGTTCATCTTGCAGCCTAGTAAATCTGGTAAACTATTTTAATCAACCACTGCAAATCTATATACAGTAGAAGACAAAAACCATTACCGTTACTGACAATGGAACATATTTGGGGACAAATTGAAGCCTGTTTGATCCAGTCAGAATAAAGACAGAGTAGAAACATTATTGCAGGAGTGCTGACAACAGTGTAGGAGTAAGTATGGCTTCCCTTTGGAGTCCCTGAACAGTTATTGCATTATGGGCTCCCACTTGAAAAGCTGCCAGCCTCACTTAGGTTAAGGCGGCTCTCTTTCCAAGTGAAATTGGCACTCGCTGACTACGATTCCCTGACATCATAGTAAAAGATGATACTTCGCTGCAGAGGGGCAAAGATCATCATTTGTCAACACCAGAAAATAATAAAGGGTTTCCTTTGGATAACCCTGCTTCGGAATAACAAACATGGCACGGACTGAAGAGGGTGTGGGCAACACTTTATCTTTAGGGCTGCAAGATTAATGGCAATTTGAATAACCACAACTGCTAAATGAGAAAATTCAAATTAGATAGTAGAGTTTAATACTAAACCCTTGAGTTCGGACCTCCACATGAGCTGAAAAATTAATGTGATTCTTGTTTTAGGTCTATATTAGCAATTCATATTTAAAGGTACATGGTGTAACTTTTCTGATGGAGGATCCATTAAACACTTGGGTCCATGAAGATGTTATTGCTTTGTCTGGAATCTTTCACAGTATGATCCTTTGTGTCTACATGGAGACTAAACCAGACCATGTTACAGGTCAGATCTGTGGAGAGGCAACCCCACTCACAGTCAAGGTATTTTAGGAAATTTTGAGCTATAAAAACCACTTGTAATTAAATGTAATAATGTCATACTGTGGAACATTCCAGGCAGACCAATGACATTAACAAGCTGGTGACAAATCCCCAAACAAAAAGTTACATAATGCACCTTTAAATTACTGTTGAGTGAATACTTATTCTAGAATTAATCTAATGCTGCAGAAAAATATTTATATTCTTCTAAAATATTTCATCCCAGTTTACAACAACTTTCTAATTATCACATATTTCGGGCTGGGTGCTTTTCAATTTCTTCAGGTACCGACTTGAACGAGACGTGGTTTTGGATCTGATCTGATCGTTAAAATCAATTTCTGTAGTTTTCATGATTCATTTATGGTCATATTTCCTATAGTATTCAATAGTCCTCTCCCAGCAACCACCAAACATTGTCTAGTACACACCAGTAATACCAACTGTCTGGACTGTACTGGTACCTTTAAACAATGCCCATCCCTAACCTAACTCATGGAAAAATGACGACATGTCTCCTGTTGTTTCTCATGTTTCATAATTCCATAGTGCCCGATCTACTAAAATCCAACGCACGTTCATTATTGTTAAAGTGAATTGATTCGTGCCATATGAAAGACCTGCTTTAGTGCTGATAAAAGACCTACAAGGAGGAAAATGACTCAATTGGCTGACCACAAGGTTGTCATGGAGCCAACTTTACATCATTAGCGCTGTAAGCCAAGACGCTTGTTGACACCCTTCCTCCTCCAGTCCACGGCTACAGTTACGTACAGCTGCTATACTCTGGCTTTTTACTTCAAACACCACCAATTTAAATGATGGCAAATGGTGAGAAAATACACTGCTATTTTGGTCTTAAAAAGGACATCGACTTCTTTTGCATGCCACCAACTTTTTTTGGTACCAGTACGTACTATGTCTGGTTTTTTGGTAAAAGTATCTGAACTGAATACTTCTTTTGGTGCCAAAGTATTCCTGGAATTAGCTAGAACTACAAGACAGATTAAGACCAATGTTCACACTGCCCTAATAACTTGACCGGATGCAAAAGGCATTAAAACTTATCAAAATAATTGTTTAATTTCTTTTTAATCTTATCTTTTACCTTATCTTATGCTTTTTATTT